GTACGCGGCCAGCACTTACGTGGTGCCATAGCTAGAGCAGAAAGCACCACGAGGTAAAACCCGTCATATCCCTCGCCAGAAAACAGATTTTCTTACCCAGTGGTCCAGAATGCCCAGCATCCTTCATGCAAACTTCGTCCTTCCTGAAGGTCTCCTGTGCGATTTTACTTGGCACTTGAGAATTGTTTGAATCAACCCGTCTAGTTGCTTAGGACCGAAAGATAGTTTATCGAGAACCTTCATCAGATTTTATGATTGGCTCTTAGTAACAGTCCCGCAGAAGGTCATCATGGGAACACGGACGCAAGTTTAGCTCACAGGTCAGGGCTGAAATAAGTTTCCATTTCGGAAAGATCCGCCGCAAATCGACCCTTTGTTCATTGAAGACCGGCCCTTAGCGTGTAGCCAAACTTTAGAACCATTCTTGCTAATTTCCCTGTTTGCGGCCTTTTGCGGCGTTTTCAGATCCGATGCAGTTTTTTTTCTCTACAAAATGGGTTAAGAAAATCGGTTCTCGGAATTTTGCGAGACTTAGGGTTTTCTGTTTGACGGTACCCATCTAACAAATGAGTCGTGGCAGTCTAATTTTGGGACAATGGTTCTTGTTTCCAAATTACCCTTTTTTGCATGGGACTGTCAAGCATGTCGAAGGGCATCGCGTGGTACCTCGCCGTGGCCCAAATCTCGAAAAACTGCTCACCCTTTTGCGAAGATATTCCCGAAAGTTCAGGTGGTGATTAGCAGCTGAGAAACTACCCACTTAAAGGGTTTTGCGTCCGAACAGATGCAGGCGTAATCTCACGCTGTATGATGTCATGGTGATGTCAAACTCTTTCACTCGAAACTTCGAACTCGTTCAGATTTTTCTGACGTCGCCACCTAACCGCTGGTCAGACGGCTAAATGAACCTCAGCATGGTATTCCTCAATGACCGGTACGCCAGATTGCATCAGCAGTTCCACTTTGCGGTTTGTGTCTCAAAACTCGAAAGCCAATTCGTGAACAATCTGGTCAGATGCCCATTTTTACAAAACTGGCCGATACCCAAATATCTTTGCGCAATGGGTATTTTCAGGTTGGTTGGACATAGAAAATTATTGTTGATGACAATAGTTTTTGTTAATGTGGCAGTTGACAAGCTTTCCCTCATGTTCAAGCTCATGGGCGGACATGGAATGGCTCGTCAATACATACGGGCTTCCGCCCCTATGTACAATGTTCTTGCTCGTAGGTTCCCTTAATGGCATTTCTGTCTTGACCGTTCGCCATGTCCGGCTGTGGGCTCCTCCCGTATAACATGGCTGTCTGTACTACATGTTCTATGTCTGAAAGTCCTCTCTCGAGATGTTCTCGATGAATAACTTTAGTTTCGCTCTTTGCATCGCGCGAACTTCTTACCACCATCCCAACCTTCATGCTTTCTTCGTTTTATTTCCAATAAAAAATGGGGTCTCTGTGCTCAATAACGGGACCGTTGCAGCTCAGAAGAACAGGTGGAAGGCTGATGCGCCAAACCATCACTTCCGCCTCGGTCTCACACACAGACTGTGAGCCACCTCTACTTGCATCGACGATACCCATCGATGCGTTCAGACGGTCCCAAACTGCTCAAATAAAACTATACCCTTATTCTGCTTATCACGTTATGTTCAATAAACAACAGTTTGGCCAAAACGGCTGCGTTTGGAAAAGTTTAAAAAAATTCAAGATTATTCATCAGCATCGTGATTCACCAAACGAAAGAGGCCTCGTTCGTGAATCCCGAAGGAACCTCTCCGACAATCACAAACGTTTCCATTTGGCCATAGCAGTATCCTGGTTTACCAAACGCATCGGAAAGCGTAGCTTGTGCCGAGCTAGTGCAGGGTGATCACCTCGGACAATCAGTTAATCAGAAGTGCATTTGAGAAGACTTTTTCTTCAACTTCGTGGGCTGATTAATGCTGGGTAAACTATCATGGCCAGCTTCAGTCGTTTGCTCTATCTCAACCTACCACGAGTTTTTTAACCTCTCTAAGGTTTCAGTAAATGCTTTCATGAACCGTGATTTTCAGAATCAATTAGATGTTGATTGTTTCATCTATCCACGCAGAACGCAAGAACCCTAATTTCGTCTTATTCGACCTGCAGAACGTAATCATCCCTTCATGATGACCTTAAGTACCAAAACACTCAACCAAATTTTATTTAAAACAATATTTAGGACCCACGGTACCTACTCACGGCAAGCCGCGAGCGAGCGGAAGGCGAGCGACCAGCTTGTAACGGTAAATGGCGCTAGATTATCATTCCCGCACCTGTTGCAGCTCCTGATAGTACCGCGGCCACTACCAGAAGTTTCATCCCAATTGCCATGCTTTGATGCAGCACTGTCTGGTAGCAGCTAAATTCCAATGGAAGAAGGGTAAATATCAGGTGCAGAAGTATGACTTGTTACTTCCCCGACGAAGATTTTCAAAAAATCTTCCTGACTGCCAACCTCGGTATTGTTGATCGGGTTATCCACCCATCCTATCATGGTACTTCACTCATTTTTTCGGCAGCGAATGCATGCCTTAACTGTAGGAGCATAGGGGAAGAGAAAAGATAAACTCCCCGCAGCCATTTTTCGCAGCCTCTCTGGAGGAAATTGTATTTTCACGTTAGGGGTGCTCTAATTTTTCGACGAGGTGATAATCCTTCAGTACCAGATTCTCTCTTCCTGATGTGTGAAGGAGAGTTTCCAGTTCCGCCTTCTGCAGTTTTGCGGAAGTGTTCTGTTCAATGTGTACTCTAAAGCTAACATGCAACATTGGTGCATTGAGTCGGCTAAACAATTTCGTCTAGTGAACGGCAACTTTCCTCATCATTCTTTCTCGTACCGAAGAGGTCTAGTCACCGGCTACCGTTACGCCGGGTAGAAAGATTTCACAGCGGTGTAGACTTTAAAACAGTAACCTGACAGTAGCCACAATTTTCCGTTGGTGCCGCTCACGATTCGAAATTTTCCACACTGCTTCAGCTCTTTTGAAACAGTCTGATTTTTGCTTCAGACTGTTCTACAGAGACCACTTATCGTGGCTGGCAACAATGTGATCTGAGATCGGTTCGCTCTCGTTCAGCACCGGGAGGGTAAATAAAGGCAAAACCTTGCTTATGTGTAAGGTGCGCGAGGTAAACGAGGTATCCGTTTCTCTAATTTTACTGCCTTCCCGTTTTGTCTAAATGTCCAGCGAGGATTTACCTTGAAGTCTCGTAAGGGTTTTACAACAATTCGGGAAGAGTCGGATTCAACAGATTCCCCGAACACGTTGTTGTCCACCGAAGTTGACGTGTTCCCAGGGGCAACAAGTCATACTTCCGCACCTGATACTACAGTTTGATGTCTTAACTTTACGTTAATATGGCAGGCAAACTCATTTGCAACTAACGCTTGCAGTTTCTCAAATTTAACTGACTTCCCAGGTAACCAGTTTCCCTGACACTCTACAAATTTATGGTCACCGGCACGCAGTGTAACCTGGACGCTCGAGGCCTCAGGTACGACGATTTGCTCGATGGTCCGCCAGAAAGAAGGCGTGTACGTACCGTAAGATAGTTTGGACAAGTCCACGCGGAGCGGTATCTACTTCGCCAATAAAAACAGCGCAATGTGGGTGCAAACTATTCAGCGTAGTACCCAAAGCGCAGTGTGAAGTGTGGCGTTCGTCTGTTATGCAAATTGAGCAACACGAAGTTATGTAATGTTTAATCTGAAAAAAGTAATCTGATCGTTCTTGAACGCAGCTTTGCCCACTCGGTTTCCACGATATAAAAATAACCACTAAGATTCATGAAGGAACTTTCCAGTTTGGTCACACTGCGCACATCGTCTGGGTTTCACCAAATACCACGTTTGCTTAGCTCTTGACAGCAGAATGAAGTCCGTCCTTCTATTGTTCACAATCGTGACCACGTGTAGTACAGTTCTCGCATCGTTGAACTTGGACCCTGTTGTCCATGATGCCGACTACGAGCGTCCTGTGTACGGATCAGATCCTGTCGGAAGAAACTACACACTTATTGACGCATGCCCCATAATTGACACCGCTGCTGGTCTCACTGGAACAGGTTTGACTTTGAATCTCATGACTGTCATAAACATTCTGCAATCACGAAAGTCCATCACTTGCGCAATCTGTTGGCTATGTTTCAGAGTACTACAAGGCGGTGGTGCAAGCTGACGGACGAAACAGTGTCGGGTTCGCCTTGACAGCCATGTACCACCATAACTATCGGGGAAGCAAATCTTTGGAACACATGAAGGCATTCGCCGAAGCTGCGAGCCATTTTGTCGGTGCGGCGTACGGCCTACGCGAGATCAGCTCTTCCGAACACTGCCTGCTTGTCGCCAAAGCACTTCTTGCAGTCAACGGTGAATCGATCAAGTACCGCACTGTCGCCATTCCTGGACCAGGCTACGGTCAACCACTAAACGGAGAAGGTACAATAAATATTTTTTACTCGAACCTGCCACATTCTCGTTTCAGCTAGAACGTATCCTTTCTTCCAGCGGAACTTCAGTGTCAGGTGAAGCGAAGGGGACAAGCGCTCTATGTCGCTGGACAGGTTGGAGCAGACCACGCCGCCGATGATGCTCCAGAGCAAGACTTCTATTTGGGACTCTTGATTAGCCTGGTTAAGGATGTCACTCTTCTGCAAGGCATTACGGCAGCGAACTTGGTCACTGAAGAATGCGGCAAAGTCGCCCTGGACCTGGGAATGACTATCCGTGAAATCTTCAGAACTGTTCATTCCGATCGAATCATACGTGATGCCTTTGGCTTGAATGCCTACCAGCGTTTCCAACATAAGCTTATGATTGATTGACCTCTTTGCACACTGTGGACAAGCTGCTGTTGACTTGCGGAGAATCAGTGCTGATTGTTGTACAGCAGAATCCTTTTTGCAAGTCTTTTGTAAATCGCTCGATATTCTGGAAAAGCAAGTCTTGACCATTGGTCACGGAAAGTAATTGGGGTGGGATAGTAGTCTAGTGGTATGATTTCTGGTTTGGGACCAGGAGGTCCCGGGTTCAATCCCCGGCTGTCCCCATTTTTAACAGCTTTCAATCCGCGAGGTCGCCGTAATATCGTAGAGAAACGCATGGCTTCCCTTAGCTTAGCCATAAATGCCCGGTCTAACCAAACCAGCACCGTTGACCAGCCTAGCTCGGGTATCAGATTTTCGTTTTGATGGATTTCGCTATTGTTTTGAAGAGAGATTGGACAGGCCTTCGTTTTTTACGGACAGCTCCACTCGGAAATTGCCCGCGAGATCGTCTGCGTGGCGTTTTCCAGATGGGGTAGTCGAGCGTAGTCGGAGCTGCCGATCTTTCCATCTCGTTTGGCAAACGACAGTGAGGTAACTTGGGTAAGAGATCGTTATGCCAAGCAGCTGTAACAAGCAGCAAACACTTGCTCACAAGGTTCCGTTCGAGTTCAATATATGATAACAGCATTTGACGGACCAGTTCTCTAAGCTCCTACACTGGTCACGTATTCCTTCGAGAGGTAGAAGAACCCAGCGGCAGAGATGGCTACGGTACAGCTCGTACGAATATGATTTTGTTCGGGACCTGAACTGGCTCGAACCAGACAGAAGATTAGAAAAAGAAGACGCTTCTGGTCACGACCAATCGGATTCGCGCTTTGAACTTCAGGCTGCATGGCTTGCGAACGAAATTATTTTCGTACGAGCAGTCTGCAATGCGTCCCAGCGAGCACTCATTGCTGCACTTCAGCGAACGGCGTTTCTGCGTCGATCTTTTGGAGAACTCGGCGAAGATGTAGCCACTTGAATTCAACATGGGCTCTTTTCGGTGTTCTAGCTTAGCTGGACTGAAAGTTTTCTACTCACCCTGCATGAGAGCGCAAACATCCCGCAACCCTAGCGATACCGCTCAGCACCGTGATGACGGTACAAGCGTGCACCCTGCTGGCTTGGTTGGCATCCTCGTGAGGTCCAATTCGCCTAATCAATGCTTCCAGAGTTTCATTCGGCCTTTGGGTCCATTCTTCTGCAAGAAAAGCGCCACCAAGGCCACAGAAGCCATCAAGTCTCGCACACAGTTTAGCAACATCAAAAACCCCCAATGCATCGTTCAGCTCGTCTGTCAAGTTCCCCAGTTTCCGAGCTTACAAGCTGGCTTTCCGCAACAGCGCCAACTGTCATTCCGCGTCCTTCTTGCTGAATCCCAAAGGTTTGACCATTTGAACGATCTGGCTGAAAGCTTTAGCCCACACAAGGATCAGTAGTGCGCAGCTCAACTGGGCAGTGAGGTAGCAGCTGATTCCAAATGCACGGTTGTAACTCAAAGCCAGCAAGCTGAAGTATCCACACTTCGAAATCTCCTCGAAAATTTTTCCCGAAGATTTGTTTCTCGAAGATTTGTTTAAATTTTCCCACATGCCACCAAAGACCAATGAGCATATCAGAATAGACAGACACAAAAGTGTCCAGCCGGACCCAATAGTCTGCTGGCTTTCTGAAGCGTCTCGGTTTCTTTCGGACACACGTGCTCGCAAATCTCGCGGAACAATCGGGATGTTTATCAGATGACTCTGAAGATTCGTTTATGCCGAAGAAAAATACACAGGAATGTCACCGAAACTTGGACGGCTAAATTCAGGCGATTAATTGGGAAGCGCTACCAGTAGGAAGAACTCCAGCGAGGCGAGTTCGTCGTGGCTGTAGGCGATATAGACCATGCACATGATAACCGCCAGGGTACTCGCAGCGATGGCCGCGAGCAAGAGCCAGATTTGCCGCTTCCGAAAACGTTTCGGTTCGAAGCAGAGATGATGCGGGTCGTCAGGCATATTAGGAGAGAAACTCAGTCTACTCCGACATTCGTATTTAACGAAAGGTGATGGTATGATAATATCATCGGGATAAACCGTTCTCGCCGTTGTCGTGTCCATCTTTCCCGAGAAAGGTTAGCTTTGGCGGGAGTTCGAACCATCGTGGACCGGATTTTCATCCTGGGGACGGTTTATTCAGAGGGGCGCACACTGCGAAGACCACTCCCGAAGCTAGCATCTGGGATCTTCGTCGCATCGTTGTTCCTGCAAAGATATTCGATACGAGCTTCAGCCGAAGTCACCTGTGTACGATATGGATCCTATCTATTGGATGCGTGTGTGTTTGCTTGCCAGCCAGTAGCCGGATATTGTACCTGTCTACCTTCACGCGTGTTTGTCGAGCTTCATTTTACGAGAAAAAGGTCCTAACTTTCCTACGTTAGCGGGTGCAACTTTGCTAGCATACGTCACGAGCAATTTGCAGGCATTTTAAGCATGTGACGTAGACAAGAAAAGTTGTAGGCGCTAGCATAGTTAACGTTAGGACAGTTTTCTCGTACTAAGAAACACTTGATCACCCCGTCCGATCAGGGTCGTCCTCTTTAAATCAGGTGGACCGTAAGGCATGAATATGTCTGTTGAGACAGTTACAACTTGCAACAGACAATGGGCAGACTGCAGGAAAGCTAACAGAGACAACATCCGGACAGGAGCGTCTAGCGGGAAACCTGCTAAGGCAAACAGCAAAGCCGGCTGCGCCATCTGCAGCAGAACTTTTCGCGCAACTGCCGGCTAGTACGAGGTAAAGGTTGTAAACTTAGCCACCCCATCCTGGGTTTGTAAAGTTAGCCACGGCTGTGGCGCCTATTGCTTGATTGACTATTTGATTGTCAGTCTTGGCTGTTTAACATGAGGTTTCAACGTTCTTTTAATTGCGGATCTCTTGGATTCTCTGACTTCTCGTGTTGACTGTGCCTATTACCATTCGACAGCTCATTATTTTATCTTTCGATTTATCCTTAAAAGTTTGGGATTGAGTAGTAGAGAACAGGCGAACTTAGACGGCTAACTTTACAAACCCGGTATAGGGTGGCTAACTTTACAACCTTTCCCTCGTAGGCTTTCCTTTACGTCGTCACTTTCTTGCCACAAAATGGAGGAGACATCTTGTATACGCAGTTGGTCTTTGATTAAGCTTCGGTAGCTCTTTTCATAAATGGAACACTACATCGCAAAAGTCAGCAGTTGCAGTGTTACCTTTGTGCAGCACAAGTCGGCCCTGCGCATTGAAGACCGTGATATAGAAACTTTTTGATCAAAAATGTGATGCGACAAAAAAGGTGATACGACAGTATCACAGTTTGTTATAAACCGCTTTCGTCTCCACCGCTGCAGGTGAAATACTGTAGCAAATGTGGGCTTAAACCAACGCATCAGTCTCTTTGGACGTACATTCCGGTATCCTATTTCGACGCTAGGATGGACGCAACCTCAGAGAAACGCAGGAGTGTTATAGGGTTCCTGAAGCATCTGTTTCGACCATCGGGAGATAACAATCTCCACCTCTGCGGCTTGTTCGGCTGGCATCCTGGGTGGCTTCAGAAATTCAACGACATCAAGGTATGTGCGGTACAATAGCTCAAAATTCCAGTTCGTTTCGTTTCAACTCTGAGCATGGATTTTAAGTTGGGAATGCCCGTTGCTCCGAGATGGGAAATTCCTCTGCTGTTAACACTGAACGTGCGACTCCAGCGGCATTTCCAACAGACATGGACGTTGCATCCGTGTTTATGCAATAGATTTTAATGTTTGCTGATAAGGAGTCATGGTGGTCGTTTCTCCAAGAAAACCCATTACCACTAAGTCCTACTGGGGATGGGTATGATGACAGGGCAGTTGCGCTGCTTCGTCATCACAACAAATCGTGATCGTGTACCGCGAAAGTAGTAATTCGTGCATGCGCATGCAGTGCTTTGTAGGCTGGAGCCGCGAAAGTTCTTTAGCTGAGGCTGGCTTCCGCTAAACCTTTTGTGGACCGGAACCCCTTTTGTGGACCGGAACCCCTTTTGTGGACCGAAGGCGCTTGTAGGTGGAAAAAACAAAGATTGGTTCTCCAGACATTCGACACTATCCAACGTACTGTACACGCCTTCGCCCTTATCAACGGCTCAAATCGGAAACAGCGTATTTCTCAGGTGAACTGCCGTCCCGTAGAGGAAGAGAAAGAAATCGAAAAGCAAAGTTAGCACGACCAGAGACTTGGCGGAGGTTTGGCAGGTGCGGTGGACGTACAAGAATCACGGTTCGAAAGATCCCGCTATCGATAAACACGCTTACCCCCTACTTACCACAACGATTTTGTAGTCGTGCGACTTCTCGCCGCTGAAAACTGGTGACACATTGCAGCCTGGTGAATGTGGTGCTTGGAGTCCATGGTGGTGCTCCCTAATTGAAAAGCGGAGCACACAGAAAACGGTGGTGGTGATTGGGAATTGAAATGTGGTATCAGGAGACTACGGTGGTGCAGGGTGGTGTCAGGAGACCATGGTGGTAAAAGATAGTGTGCGCAGCCTTCCCCTAATATTATTTCGGTCACTTTTCGAGAAAGCCAAGGTCTATAATGTGAAAACAAACATGTGTTTGAAAAGTCTGAAACTTTCGTAACACGAAGAGCTGTAAATTACCAGCAACAAACAGGTTAAGGCTAATTTTCTTTGTGCTTCCATTTCAGGCTTTCATGCTATGCTTGGTGTGCATCGATATATTTCGCGGTAAATATCGAAAAAACTACCAATGACATTTTCGAAAATCAAAACGACGAAATACTCAACTTCATATCACTCTGCCCCCTTTACAGGAATGTATGCATCGAACTTCTCGTCCATGCTACCATCTATACAACAGCGCTTCGGTTTTTCGTCCCAGTCCGTTGGAATCATCAAAGCCATGAGCGACATCAGGTTGGTGCACCCACAGTCGAATCTGTCCAATGATGAAGAAATCAGTGCAGTTAATGGTCGTTCTTTCAGTCACTTGCTGGTGGCGTTGTTCGTCGCCCATTACGGTGGCTCGAGCCATCGACCTCGCTGGATGGCTTTTGGGACCTTGATTGTGGGACTGGGTCTCCTGCTGATGGCCTCACCCGAATTCCTCTTTCCTGCCTCCTCCTTTGAAATCCTCACGACAACGACACTAGCAAAAGCAAACGTCACGGAGCAGTTCTGTGATGCCAACCGCAATAACGCGCCTGA